CAGAAAAACACAAGGCAAAGCCTTGACTTCCGGCTTTGACTTCTTCTCTTCCTATATCAGCGCTTATGTGGCGATATTGTCTGAGTGGCGACGCCCATCATCCAGGAGAATACTGCAGTGGCTTCCTGTGCCTTACCGGCGGATATACAGTGACGAGTACCTGGAACTTAGAGAGGATTTGAGACAAATTTAACGTCGCCAGCTTCGCACAGATCTACAAATGTAAGCTGCTTTCAAGTTCCAGTGTAAAACTGGGACATTTGGGCACATAAATAAGCACATAAAAATAGCTCAAAAATAGAAAGAATAGTGATATTTCTGCTGTCAATTTACCAATTAAATGATTATGAAGCGATCTGTAAAAGAAGAACTGTCCCCGTCATTAAAGCAAGGACATCTCCCTTTAATTCCCCAAACCAACAAAGATCCTTTATTTATTGATAACTGGAGACCAATTACACTCAACAATGATTATAAAATGACAATTTTCATTGTAGCAAAGCGTTGAAACACTGATCCAAATAAAAGAATTCAGGGATCCCACTGTGGATTCATGAGTAGCATTCATATCTCATAGCTCAGGAGGTAGAGTGGGTCACTTTAGTGGTTTGATCCCTGTCTGCATAAATAACCCCACGTTGCTCTCTGATGCATCCATTAGAGTACGAATGTGTGTGACTGTTAGATAAAAAGCACATAAGTATAAGAAAAAAGTGATTGTATTAATGGTAAATGGACTGATATGAATGGTGCTTTTCCACTCTCTCAAACACAATAATAATAATGTGTACGTTGCTCAGGGGTACCTCAGGGTAGCCGTTCAGTGGAGTCAAACCCCCGACCTTCCGATCATGGGGCAACCACGCTACCTACTGAGCTATCCCTGCCCCTCAATGTGTCACAATGACACAAATGAAATCTCAAAGTCTGATCTGTTATTAACATCAGGCTTAAACCTTAATTTAAATAATTTTGACATTCTTGCTTTAAAAGACATTGCTGATACAGAAATATCCCAGTTAAAAATATTGTTAAATATTTGGGAGTTTTGATCCCAGTGGAGGACAAAAGCTTGATGGATGATAACATAGACCTGGTGATTTGATATGTTCAAATGAAATGTAGCTCCTAGCTGGCTAAAGACTTCCTCTTTATGCCAAAGTGCTGTTAAGCGAAGAAATAAGCTGCACAACATTTTTCCCTTCATTAATTCATTTGAATACACTGCACTACAGCTCCCTGGATCTACTCCCACCATCATATGTACTGTTTATCAGCCACCTAAGCCAAACAAGAAGTTTTTAAATGAATTTTCTGCTCTTCTCACTCATTTTTCTGTACTTTCTCCAAATCTGACCATTGCTGGTGGCTTCAATATTCATATGGACAATAATAAAATCCCTCTTTCCAGAGATTTTACCTCCTGCCTGGAAAGTTTTGGGCTTCTACAGTACATAAAATTTCCCACCCATTCCAAAGGTCATATCCTGGATTTGGTCTGTTGTTGTGGTCTTACCCCCACCCATTGTAAAGCCACATTGTTTCCCCAGTCTGATCATATGTTTATTTCTTTTGATGCAAACATAACCGCTTCCAAAACCTGTATCTCTCGTAATATCACTTTTAGGAAAATTAGTAATATCAACCCAGCTGTTTTTTCATCTGCCGTCCATGACCTTCCATCTATCCACTGCTCCTCAACCCCTCATGAACTCGTTTGTCATTATAATGTCAACCTTCATAACCTTCTTAACATATTTGCTCCCCTTAAACACCGAACTGTCTCATTTTCCCGTTCAGCTCCATGGTTTACCCCCGACCTGCGTCACCTTAAAGCTAAAGGACACCAACTCGAACGTCTATTCAAGAAAAATGGACTTACTTTACATAAAGAAATGCACAATGATCATGTTTTGTTCTATAAGGACTGCATTGCCTCAGCCAAATCTGCTTACTACTCTGGTTTAATTAGTTCTAATGAAGGTAACTCCAGGTCCCTCTATTCATTGTTCAGTAAAATTACAAAACCTCCAGACACATTCCCCTCCCACATGTATTCTGTTGATTTTTGCAACTCTCTTATCTCTTTTCTCACGTGGACCCAAATAAAGCAAAGGGATATATTTACATTGATTTATATATTAAAACTGGCCTCTGGAGATGAATGAAGGGCAGCAGGAGAGCGCAGGCTGAACAGGTGAAATGCAGGGAGTAAGTAGGTAGGTGCTTGGTCATGAAGCATGATGAAAGTGTCAGTGGCGTTTAGGTTGGGTCATGAGCATGGTGGGTGACACTGGAGATTCAGGGGAACAGCGAGAACCATGGTTGGTACAGTGAAGATCAGACAGGACCAATCAGACAATATCACGTATGTTATGCAGTCAATACAAGGAAGAAAGTAAATGTAAATCTATAAATTTCACTTCAACAGGTCCCGCGATGGTGGAAGATGGTTTGACTTCCAGTGACAGGTTTCTTTCTTGGTCTTTTTATGTCCTGTCTTTTGCAAATAAAGTTTTTCTATTAAATGTGCTTTAAGTTGTGGAAAATCTTTCTTTAAACTGTGAATGGCAAGTAGAAGTAAAGATGAGGGCAGCTGCCAATGAGACCTCTCAGTCTTTTGCTTTCTGATTGGCTGACTTCCACCCCCACACCCCCAACCACCACTCCCCCCCTTCAGCTACAAGTGCAACAAGTGTTGCAAAAGTCAAAGCATAGAATATGTAAATATGTGACTTGAGAGTGTGCAATTGAGCACTTGTATTCACTGATTTAAGAGCTCACAGAGCTGTGTTTGTAAATATTAAAATAATAAATAAACATGAATAAAATGTGAATACAGGTTTGGAGATTTAAACTGTAACTGTAATTTCAAATTTGTGTGAGAAATTTTACAAATGAAAATTTCAAAATACAAGTTTAAATTTTTAATGAGTTTGTTCAGACTATTGAAGGAAAATCATAAATATAAACAGCGAAACAAATAGTCTCAGGTTGTTTTCTCACTGTAGCTTCTGTTTCCCTGTCATGATGATCACTGAGACTTTATGAGAATCCAGCTTCTTGTTAATCTGTCATCAGTCATACAGAGCTCATAAAAAAAAATGGAGCACCTGGATCAGAGTAAAGTATTACATTTCTGGGATACTCCTCTGGTCAGTTGTGTGGGTGGTGTTAATCAGGGGGAAACAATTGGCTGACTCTATCCTCATCTTTTCAGAGAGTTTTTTCCACTAGTCTTGATTTGGCAAGGCTCAGTGTCACTATGGGCAGCATGAGGCGATACCTGGACTCTACCATTGCCTGAGGGTTTGCTGTGTCTCCCAGCACAGTCTCAGGAGCATGGACGAGATTCTAGGAGACACACAGCTACTCTGGATAGTTGAACAAAAACTTCCTAAACAGTCAGCAGGAACAGTATCCGGATGAACACTGCCAATCCCTTACAGAATGACCTTCAGCAGGCCAGTTGTGTGAAGGTCCAATTGTCATTTATGTCGTTTGTATCATCGTTCTACATAACCATTTGGGTACTGTGCCAGTAATGATCTGGGAAGACAAATCAATGAAGGGATTGCATAGACCTCTACAGGCTAGGCAATGGCACCCTGACCACCATTAGATACTGGGATTAAATTGTCTAACACATTATTAGACACTACACTGGTGCAGTGGGCTCTGACTTCCTCTGACAATGCATGACAATGGCCTCCATCATGTATTAACAGTAGTTCATCCTTTTGGATGGAGGAAATAATATAATGCACTGGGCTCCACGCTTGCCTGATCTAAGTCCAATAGATCATCTGCTCAGTACTCAATTTTCTGAAGGGTCAATTACTACAGACCTCCAAGCTTCATGTGGCCTTCAGATTAGCTCAAGAACAGAGAGCTTAATCGGAAGGGTTTCCATGAATGAGGACCTACATCTAAGCTTTACATAACCAAGCACAACACAAAGTGTTGGATAAAAATAAAGCATGCTGCCACTAAACTCTAAAGCAATGAAGATGTGGTATCTGGAGTGAAGAGTCATGCCTCTCCATTTGGCAGTCTAATGGGCAAGTCTGGGTTTGTTGCCAGGAGTTAGTTGTCTGCACCGTGCCAGGTGTAATGGTTGGTGGAGGGGGGATTATGGTGTTGGGTAGCTATTCAGGACTTGGGCTGGGACCCTTAATTCCAGTTAAAGGAACTCTTAATAATTTAAGATACCAAAGTATTCCAATTTCAAGCCCCAAACTTTGTTCCAACAGAAGTGCACACCAGTGCACAAAGCGGTTTGGAGTGGAAGAACTGGACTTGCCTGCATATAGACCTGGGAATGAGTTAGAGTGGAGATTGCAAGCCAAGCATTCTCATCCTTCATCAGTGAATCACATCATAAATGCACTCCTGGAAGAATGGTAAAACATTCCTATAAGCACACTCCTAAACCTTGTGGAAAACCTAATCGATTAAGAATGGGATATCATATGTATGTGAAGTCCGACAAGCAAATGCTTTTGACAATATAGTGTGTACTGTGTCATATATCAAAACTCAAAAGAAAGCACCAATACCTGTCGTCATAAGATGGAAACCTAATGCTACACACCTTAGAGAGTCCCAACTCTTGTTCTTACATTTGGGAACAATATTAGGTAAAGAGTTTGAGAAATAAATCCAAGAACTTTCAACGTTTCTATTTTGCACACAACCTCAACTGAAATAAAAACTGTTTAAAAATAACATTTCATTCACAACAGTTTGGAGAGTAAAGACTCTGAGTTTCATTGTGTTAGAAATATATCCAGCTGTCTCCAACGATACCTTGGTGTCCTTTTTATATGAATAGATCCAGTCATCTACAAACTTGAATTACTCATTTGGTATTAAATTCCAGGCTGCAGGTGTCAGGTATCTCACTTGACTTTTAAGTGTGTTGGTGTTGCACTTCAGGGTCAGGGTCAGAAACAGCAAAAGATCGTGTGTGTGTGTTGTGTGTGTGTGTTTTGTCTTAGGGCAGATTATTCATGAAGAGACAAATAACAATGAAGACATATTAAAGGACCAGGAAACAGTTGTGTTTTCTTTATATTTACATCAGTCTAATTGAAATATACACAACAGTGTTATAGCAAACTATGACGTAAGTGTGTGTGTGTGTGTGTGTGTCTTTGTATGTCTCTCTGAGTCTGTGTGTCTATTTGAGAGAGACAGTGAGAGAGGAAGGGGTGATGAAAACAATCTTAGGGTGTCATATACAGTCAATGCTATATATGGTACAAATCAGTAGTGGATCACTGGAAAATTTGACACACAGACACACAATTACATGGACTCTCACCCAAACACACATATGCACACAGACAGGAACAAATATGAAATAAACTCTAAAAAGGTGTCATGAGAACAAATTCAATGCTTTTACAATGGTGCAATCTTTGGTGCAATGGTTTGTTGGTTCAAAATTAAATGGTGGTGGATTTGGAGAACAGAGAAGACCATCTTGGATGAACACAGCTAATGGAATACAGTGAACTTTGGAAATGGAAACAATGGAATTAAAAAGCTAAGAGAATGCCAGTGGAAAACTATTTCATGTCTAAAATGATATTTCTTGAACTTTAGTTGAGAAAGAAAAAAGGGAGAAAGAATGCTGATGTATAAAGAGACAGAAATTGCTACAGTAAACACAAACAGTTCATCACAACATTTGTCAGGAGCAAATAATATATTCACATCATCAACCACATTATGACGAATAAGTCCTGGTACTGAACAAAGGATGCTTGGCTGAGATCAGTCCAGTCCTGCTCGAGCACAGTGTCTTCAGTTTGTTGTTTCTCCACTACAGAGAGCAATCCTATCTTGATAGACCCTGATGTGACAGTATTTCCTACTGGCTGTACTCTTCTGGCTCCTAGTTGTATGATGTTTGGTACCGACATTAGCCAGTTCTAACATAAACTGGTCTTAACATGCAGCTTAACTTGAAACTCAATATTGCTTGCTAATTAGTAGGCAGACCCACCGGATGTTACCGTTTCATTTTATTTGTTCCACCCTTGCCAGTGTGTGCATCACATGACAAAGTGGGTGGGTGCACCATTCACTTCTGCCATTGCTCGTTTAGTAGGGTCTCCAGACAGCTTCAGCAGGAGCCATGTTTGTTGGTGAGCTACTGTGACTGGACTCCACCTCCGCACCCACCCCTTCGTTCTGACTGGGTAAAGAGGGGTGCAGGAGGGAAGAGCCTGTGGAGGCATTGGTGCATGGTGGCAAGATCCTTGGTGGTGAGCGTGAATCACTGCTGCCTGCTCCGCTTGTCATCATGGAGAACTGGTAGGAGCCAGCAGCAGTGGAGTAGTAGAGATATGGTGAGGAGGTGGACTGGAAGGGCCCGTTCTGAGCTTGGGGAGCATTTGCAGGATAGGGTGGAGGCAGGTAGGTGTGGTACCTCCCTGCAGGGGTGGTGGCCATGGCTGTTGCCATTGTGATACCGAGTGCACCATTGGAGACTGGATTGTGGGATGGGGTGTAGGTAAAGGCAGCTGCAGTGGGAGGATAGTGCACCCGGGGATCAGAAAAACGTGAGTCAGGCAAGGAGGGCAGGGAACTGAAAGGCCGTTCTAAGGTCATCCTTGGGTCACCAAAGGCAGTGAGCTCAGAGCCTGAAAGAAGACAAAGGTTGATTGTTACAACTTAATCACAGTGTTCCCTACGTGTGTCACCACGCATAGGTTTGTTACCTGTTAGTCGAGAGGACAAGTCACTGAGAGAAGAACGACCAGGTGATAGAGAATTAGCCGTGGGAACAGTGGGTGTAGTTATCTGGCCAAGATAAGGATACGATTGATCGTAAGACCATGATGGTGATGACTGCATCTGTCTGGAATCTGAAAGAGATACAAGCAGACAGGAGAAAGGGACTGTGAGCGAAAATACATGTAATATATAATCACTGATACCTTTGGAGCAGTAAAATGTTTCAAGAAATGTTTATTCCTTCAACAGTGTTAGTTTCAGTTACTGTGCAAATGTACTGTATATAAGGTTGGAATCCCGCAGTCAGCTGAGACTGAAGAAGTCATCTGGATGAGTGACGAGACGTTTGTCCCACTGAAAACATCCAGATGAACAGCATCAACGTTTGAGGTTCAAGAAAAGTTTTTTTCACTTGACTTTTTCCTGTGCTACCGACACTCCCAGTTTATGTTATGTTGCATGTGGGTGGGGTGATTAGCACTGTTTCTATTTAGTGAGAAGGTCCTGAGTTTGATTCCACCCCAGGTTTTTCTGTTTGGAGTTTGCATGTTCTCCCCGTGTTCGCGTGGGTTCTCTCCAGGTACTCCGGCTTCCCCCCACAGTCCAAAGATTAGCAGTTGGGGTTAAGTTAGCTGGTAATTCTAAACTGTCCATAGCTGTGAATGTGAGTATGAATGGTTGTCTGTGTTAGCTCTGCGGCAGGCTGGCGACCTGTCCAGGGTATACACTGCCTCTCGCCCTATGACAGCTGGGATAGGCTCCAGCCCGACCCTGACAAGGATAAGTGGATGAGACTGGATGGATGTTAACTGACTATTAAAAACTTCAAAGCCACACTTTAAAGAAATGTTCATGTTCGAAGTAGCCATTCATTTGACTCCAATCTCTCCCTTCCTAATTATGTCCCTCCATCTATTTTCTTACAATGTTAATTATGTCTTCCTTACTCTGTTGTTGGGGCTGCAATTAAGTCGAAATTCTTACCTCAGGATTGAGGACTGGTATGATATGTTCGTGCTGAAATACTGTGTTTTTTTCCTTTCACCAAACAAGCCAATTTGGCCAAACACATCCACATTAGACTTGTATATCCAACATCGTCCCAGAAGTCTTGCTTGCTCAGATGCCATTTTGCAAAGCTAAATGTTTTGGGGATACAAGGCTTTTGGCTGACAATGCTACCAAACAAGCCATACCTCTTCAGTTTTTTCTAATCAAAAGAAAAACATTGAAAGAAACCTGGAACTGATGAGCCTCTAACATTGATCTCTTTCTACCTTGGTGTTGCATTAAAACACAAAGGAATGCCCCACCGAGCAAACTACCAAAAATGTGGGCACACTTGCTGATGATCATTTAATCATGACCATTTGATTAACATCTTCATGGAAGTAGTAATGGTGTGCTTGGTTTTTTATACACTGCTTCTGCATTTTGGCTTATTTTCTTTAGTAAATAAATAATAACACAGTGTAATATGTCACATTTTATAGTTTGTATTAAACTAATGTTAAGACCTACTACAGACCACATTATTTTTTTTACATGTTCTGAGATATAAAACTTTAGAATTTAATTTTAATTTGTTAACTATTACACTGAGAATTTGGAGTTACATTCATCGTAATAAGCAACTGTTCTATGATAAGAAAAACTGTGTGGTACGACTGATTCAAAAAAAATAACTGTCCTGCTATACTGAGATTAAATTAAGGGAGAGGTTCGTGTCAGTAACTCTTTAAGCATAAACTAAACATCAAATGAAAAAATAAAATTACATGACACTTCAAGAAATGATCATGTACGAGCTTAATAAATTAAATGATGCATTGCAGTCTTTCTAGATAATTGATTTTGGCTCCTGATTGTTTCTTTTTTTGAAGGAATTATGGACTGATGCCGCATACAAACAAAAATCGCCCTTCTTACAGCTTTATTAGAAAGGTGGAGTGAAGACTGACAGGAAAGCAGAGGGGGGAGACGTGCCAATGGGCCTCGGGTCGGACTCAAACCTGGCCTGGCCACTCTCAGCCATGCAGCATTTGATCGCCTGCTTATCCAACTGAGCTCAACCAGCACCCTGTTTTGACATTTACTTGCTTTGTTTATTTCAAGGCTTTTACCAAGGCTACTGGCTCATGGGTGGCTCCTGGTTAGTATTTAATGAAGTGGCAGGACAGTGTATTTCCACCTCCAACTTGTGGTGGTATTCTGTACCCACTGGCCCAGAGCTTAAGTATGGAGGCTTGTTCTCTGGATTTTCTCCCAGTCACTCACAAATGGAATTGGTTGGGTTGGCATGGGTTTTCACACTGGTATTGATGGTAGTCCTATGAGTTAAAGGGCTATCTGCCTGTATCAGTATTAGTAGATCCTAACCTTTCACACAGTGAGGATACATCTGAGCATTCCTGTGCTATAAGAGGCAAACTGGGTCTTAATCAGCCCAACAGGGAATATTTGTGGGCAGTGGAAGACTTGAAAATTGCAGCTATGCAGACAAAGTATGTAAAGATATATAAAGCTTTTTTACACAACACGTGTTAATTCTAACTCTGTATTTCTTGGACTCACTTTGTCAAGTCTTAACAAAATTATCAAGTCTTGAGCTGTTTGAGGTCCAAAACACTGGCAGGAACAGGAACTTTGAAATGCCTGTAGAAAAGCCAGAGAGGCATCAGAGTCCTTTGTTTTTAATGGTCCTATCTGATCTCTTCAGAGGTTTTGTAACGATAAAGGCACTGATCCTATTAGAAGTCCATCTGTAAGGAAGACCATTGATCATTGATCAAAGACTACTGATCAATGTCCATGAGTCCCATTGACAGAGAGTTGGGGAATGGCTGCAATCACAGCATTGTAAGATGGTGTAAGACACTTACAAATGTGGATTGCACAACACTGGACATTATATTTCTTCATTTCCAGTTAATACTTGTACAGCTGCTGTTATTGT